AGAACCAAAATAAAAATATGATTAAGCTTTCTTCGTTCACTGATTGAATTTATTTAAGTATCTTAAACATCTAAGAATAGAATTTATTACAATTCTTTGTATATACCATTTAAGTAAATAAAATTTTGGAACAAAAAATATTTGCCATCTATTGAATAGTTATCGAATTAATTTTATTTATTAGAAAAGTGCTAAATTTTATTAAAAAAGAATCTCGATTTTAAAGTGCAATAGTAGCATCAACCAAACGCAGTACAATTTTTACATTTATAATTTATAATTTACATTAAAATCGGCAGGTAGCATATACCGATCTTTCGTTACTATAGAGAACCATGATTGATATGAAATGAGAAGTTCAAAGCTTATCATAGATGAATGACAATGGCGTGTTATCTAAGACAATAGTAATTGTGAAATCGAGTATGTTCAATTAGTCATGCGGTGCAGTTCCATTAACAGCCGGTCACCTTCGCTACATTAAAATTCATAAGAAAATATTTATAGGATGCCGACGTTATGTGACAGGGAAGGCATTGAAATCGGAGCCGCTAGGACGAATAAATTGCATCGGGATTATTAATTAGGCAAAAAGATGCCGAGTTCTCGTTTCGTTTTGCCAATGAACCCGAACCGGACAACGCACAAAATATACGAGCATTCGCGCGTTGTCCTCTGTCCAAAAAAATTACTGTCATTAAAATAGGTTAGTTCTCGCGACAACAATCGACCGCTTTTTTTCACTTAATTGAAAAACGCTGCATTTCGAATATTCCTGCTAATGGGCTTCATTTTTTTGCTGCATCCTCGAGAAAACATTTGACTACCGAAAGATAAAAGCATTTGTTCGCATATATATATATATATATACCTGGCGCCCATTTTCGATTTTTACGCAGACTCCGGGCCACGCTAAATCATCGTTATAAATGAGAAATTTCGGATGCAGCCTGTGCTTGGATGACATTAGAAATATTTCAGCCTTCCAAAATTTTTTATACGGCCATTAAACATATGCTAACGAAGCCACCCGATGACAGAGCAAGGGAGTTCGGAGAAAGATCACAGTTTTTTGCCAATTTGAATTCTCCCGGTTGTTCCTACGCTGTTCGGCGTAGAGAAGATAAACAAAACAAACGGGCCCAACAAAGAATACCGCACTGAAAATTCACGGGGAACAAAAAAGGAAAAGACTCTTCTCCGAGGGATCGGTATGCGCGCGGCCGATCTGACGAGAGGCAACTAACTCCGGCTACGCGCATGCGCCACGGGGAACGTTAGACATTGGCCGGGATTCCCCATCGAGATTTAAATTCAAAGCAGCAAGGGCGCGCCCTTCAAAGAAACATTTGATGTTCCTCTTTTGCACCGAGAGAGAGAGAGAGAGAGAGAGAGAGAGAGGGGGGGAGTGCGGAGACGTTGAAATAATCGTTTCATGAGATGAATTATTAAGTTCCGAGAACGTAGAAATCCTTGCGAAAACTTTTCGAGAGCAATTTCTCACGTTTAAGTGCCACTTTAAGTGTCCTCCCGTTCCTAAATCGTTTTTCAAGGAACGAGTATGTTAATGCGGAGCATCGAAGTTCGAGCTAGATTGTTTCAAGTAAAAAACTATCGAAATTGGGCGTCCAATGTTATTTTATAGGTTGACCGGTTTCTGAATCCGCATTCTATGATAAGTGGCAAAAACTGGAATTCTCGCGAAGAAACGTAGTCTAGTCGATCATTCGTGTTTGTAAACAGCAAAGTTGTCGAGGATGTTGTTTTATTGTTTAAACTAGATTCCCGACGGTATTTAGGCTTTTTCTGGGTAATTCACTCTCTGTCAATGTTCTACTCGTGGTTGCTATTCCACGAAGAGAATGCTTTATGGAGGCTGCTTTTTCTATCCTTAGATCAAATGATCTAATTTAACCCAGATTGATTACAATATAAATTAATTTTATACAACCTTCTATAAAAAGTTAAATTATCACTTTTACCAAGTGCAATGCCGCGAACCAAATGGACTGACATTGCACACAAGTTATCTAATCTCCTCCGATACATTAATTCGCGTTCCAATTATTCGTACTTAGCAGATCTGTTATTAGAACTATCTTGATGTACCATAAAGCTAGCAAATGGAAGATCAACGCTTTGACCGTCAATGTGGCAACCTCAAAAATTCCATCGAATCAAAGTACTATATTTAATGAAATAAAAACTGAAAAGTTACGATAATACGTAACATCCGTATCGGATGACGCCACCTGGCGTCAAATTCGACACTGCCTTTTATTACAGATGGCGCAATTTGGCGTTAAATTCATTACTGTTTATTGCAATATTTATGTTCACTTTTAGCAGCAAAAAGTCGGGATCACACCTCCGTTGATTAGGTGTTAATGGCTGATCCGGTCCAAGAAGAGTTTTTGGCATTTCTGAGCTGACCGCAAGCATTTTTTAAAAGCTATTATTTATTAACTTTAATTATAACCTTAATTATCAATCGCGTCTTTTAGAGAACTGTTTAATACGTTCCTAATGGCTGATCCGATCCAAGAAGATTCTTTGGCAATTGTGAGCTGACGATTAATTACCGCAAATATTTTTAAAAAATTATTAATTATTAACCTTAATTATAACCTTAGTTATCAATCGCGTGTTTTAGAGCACTGTTTAATGCGTTCCTTCGTCGTAGTATTTGCTCGACGATATTGTGCGAGGAAGTATTATCCGTTCAAAGAGGGACTTCACTATTTCCGCTGAAACATCGCGGAAATCTCTCTACAGCAGCTGCACAGTGTACTCGAGGCGTTGTTCGATGATTATCGTAAAGGTTCATGGAACTCGTAATTGTATCACGGCGGGTACGGCTAGGTATTACGTCGTATGTGGTAAAACACTTTCGTCCGTATTTGGCCGATTGCCAAGGTCCCTTGCTTCACCCGCGTGCCATGCATCGGAGGTTGTACACGGGTCTGCTTTGGAATACGTGAACGAGATTCCTTAGCAGACCTCGACGTCGCGTTCGTCCACGACGTCGACGGCACACGTACACGGGTTACGTATGCGACTCCGTAAACAATAGGACGAGTAACAACCCCGTGTAACATCCACCGGATCACGCTCCCATCGCTGGCGCATCGAAACACGCGCGCGCACACACACACCCAACACGCGTGTCCTCGTGCGTTGATCAATCGGCGAATGACGCGCATAGGACGATCTGACCGCCAGGTATATAAAGGTATCCACCAAAAAGCAAGAGCATCATTCAGTTCCAACTGAACGCAGAAGCTGATCTCTAAAGCTCCACCTAACTCAACACAACCATGAAGTGCATCGCTGTAAGTATACCGAGCTTGCTTCTCAATCGTTAGCCCTTTGCACAGCTCGAATGGTGGCTCGGAGGCACCGTTAAAAGCTGTAACATCATATTCAAAAATAATTTCTGTTCTATTATACGATTATTGTACAATTTTTTGTTACATTTAGAGAATCTGTTTAAAGCGTAACTATGAGTTGCAAGACTCATACGTTGAAATTGCATCAAGTTGTATAAAATGGAAACGCTGTCGATCGGAGAAACTATTTTGAGTTTAAAGTTGCGTCTATCTAGAGTTAAAATGGCTTCGAGTACAAAGGGTTAAGTGCCTTGTCCACTGAGCGTTTCGATTATCCTGACATTTTGCTGGCTTACATTGTTGCATACGCGCCGCGTGAGAATCAAGGTTGTCCGGCAACCAAAGCGTCGTTTCGAGTTTTAGAAGCATCATAAACTGTGTACCAACCGCGAGCCGAAATTGCAGAGAGATATCTGTTCGGCTGAGAAACAAGATGAGCGTACAGCCGTCGAGGAGAAAGATAGTAGTAGCTCCATCGAATTTCTTGCCGCGCCTGTTCTCATCGCACCGGCGAATACTTCCGAACGGCTAAGTGGTTCGGATGGCACGCGGCTTTTTACGATCCCGGTGAAAATCATCGATCTGCAGAACTATTACTTCTCGTTCCAGGCATTCGTCCTTTTGGCTATCTTCGCCGTTGCTTTCGCCGAGGAGAAACCAGCTGAACCCAAAAAACTCGAGCCCGTGGTGGCGGACGCCGCTCCGGATGCGTCCAGAGACAAGAGAGGCGTGCTGTTGAACTACGCTGCTGCACCGATCGCATACTCTGCCTATTCTGCGCCGCTCACCTACAGTTCTGCGTACAGCCTCCCGTACGCCTACCGTGCCTACCCCTCTTACTACCCGTCGTACTACAACTCCTACATCTACGGTTAAGCAGTGACAACGACGCGAGCCGTTGTAATCACGATTTTGGGAAACGATCACGGCAATTGCACGGACTTCCGATCGGCTCACCTACTAAACTACATCGGTTTAAGCGAACGGGCATCATGCGACACAGTAACCACACGGATTCGACGATCCAGAGAAATTTTCTGCGCTACCACGCACCCTGGTGCACCCACGTGTAAATTCATGACGCAATGTTAAATACAGAAGATTATTAATTGTAACCTTCTTCGTCGCATTTCTATCCTGTGCAAATGAAATCCTGACATTAGAATTAAGACGACATAATCTTGAATAAGTTTCTCGCGTTGTCTCTGAACTTACCAGAGTTATCTTAGGGGGTGAGTATGGCGGCGACTGCATGCTTTATAAATATTAGATGATAGAAATACGACTGGCATTAGGCCAGCATGCAGATCAGAACAATGGCGAGTCGCAGAAACGATGGACCAGATGCGCCCGATAACGGATATCTTCGAATTCCAACTGCGTTTAGTACGCATGCAAATTCCGTGTGTTACAAAGGCGTGGGCGTGTTAGCCATGCATCTGCAGTTTCATCTTTGATACGGGAATGCGATGTACGAGCGTCGTTGCGTTGCAGCATCGCGCGTGCTTCCTGTCGCGAAACGGCGTACAGAAACGAGTGACATCATCGGGATTTTTATATAATATTCCGCCGGAGCATTTCCATCCGTTTAGGCGACGCTATGAAATCATAGGGGAAGACAAATGCACCGTGGCGGCGTCAACGTATTGTCGGTATCCGTCAGCTTCTGTTCGCGCGCCGTTCATGCATAAAGATGGCGACGCGTTTAGGAAATCCTACTGCAAATCCGGCGAGACGTCACGGTTAGCCAAGTTTAACTGATCGTAGAAATAGTTCACGTCCGATCTCAAGGACGTATCACGTGACTTTCCACGAGCCTGGAAAGACAAAAAAAGAAGAGAACATGCTGCGCTTTAGCTGGTATTATTTAATCCCGTTCGATCGAGCGCATCCTAATGCGATCACGTAACGCCGAACAGTTTGAATTGTTTCATGGAATAGGGACGCTGGCGCGAGCGAGTCACGCGTAATACTGAATTACACAATGCGAATATTTCACTATAAATGAACACCTATTCCGTATTCCCTGGGACTTGATCACTTTAAGTACTTTCACTGAGACTTCGACGGATACAGACGTGATGCGAATGATTGAACCGCGGAATGCCTTTTGCAAGTTCGACGGAAGTCGAGCCAACGTTATCTGTCCTTTGAAAATGTCACGGTTAAAAAGGTGGATTAATTATTAGCGCAACAATTTCCAACATATTGTCGCATTTCGTTGAGCTAAGGTTGCGCATATTTCTTTCTCGCGCGTACCGTGGATTTTATACTACGTTCACGGCAGAAACGTATAAGTGAAAACTGTGAAAATATTCATAAGACTACAGTAAATTCTGCGTAATTAAATTCTTCCGATTATTCGAGCCTCGCGGCTCGTTTTTACAGTCATCGATTATTATAATTATAGAAACAAGTCGCGAAGCTCGAATAATCTCTTCCAGAGATCATTCTCTCTCGGATAATCTATTCTCGACATAACCTCTCTTCCCAAATTGTCCATTTCTGTCTCCAAGCTTAGGGAGAATTTACTGTACTCGTTATTATTGACTATTTACAGCCTGCAAATACGTTTCTCATTATTCGTGTTCGAGCGCGCGATAAAAATATGAATATATAAATAATCTCTTCCAGAGATCATTCTCTCTCGGATGATCTCTTCTTGATATAACCTCTTTTCCCAAATTATCCATTTCTGTCTCCAAGCTTAGGGAGAATTTACTGTACTCGTTACTATTGACTATTTACAGCCTGCAAATACGTTTCTCATTATTCGTGTTCGAGCGCGCGATAAAAATATGAATATATAAATAATCTCTTCCAGAGATCATTCTCTCTCGGATGATCTCTTCTTGATATAACCTCTTTTCCCAAATTATCCATTTCTGTCTCCAAGCTTAGGGAGAATTTACTGTACTCGTTACTATTGACTATTTACAGCCTGCAAATACGTTTCTCATTATTCGTGTTCGAACACGCGATAAAAATATGATCACACTCGTCTACAATGAGAGAAACTAATTAATTTACATTTATCATTCCCGAGTGCACCATTAGAAACGACGTCCTCGAACGTCACTTTCGCTCTATCTCCTAACGTTTCCCATGATTATGCGGCAGAGGTCGTCCTCGTCGAACACGTTTCGGGTTCCGTGGACGCCCGATGACTTTCGGCAATCACGCTATGCAAATCGACGAAATTTGGGAACAGCTGCGAGAGGGCGATACTCTACATCGATATGTGTAACATCACCGATCCGTAACAGCATTGCCTAAGTGTGATCGATGAAAGCCAGGCAAGAAAGTCTATTGTAATTCGTGGATGGTCGCGACCCGACTGTATTTATACATGTGCAGGTATGGCCGTGGTCTTAGTCGGGCCGTCCATCCTTGAACGAATTAGTTGTTTTTTCAGCTCCGTAGCTCCGGTTAAATGTCCGAGGGTCCCGCGGCGGTTAGTCGAGCGCTGGCATAAGGAAACCGTATCGTTTGGTGCAGTGAGACAAGTGCGTATCGGATTAAGACCATGAAGTTTCTTCTTCTGGTAAGTACGTACGCTCTGACCGAGATCGAATCTACAGGGTGTCCCAAAAATGTCTCGCAATCCGAGAATAGGAGGTTCCTGAGGTAATCTGAAGTAAGTTTGTCCTTGGCGAAAATGCAATCCACGGCTTTGTTTACGACTTATTAACGAAAAAGAGTGACCAATGAGAGGTGAGATATGCTGGCGCAAGGCGGCCGAGCCAATAAGCGGAACTGGGCTTCGTGCGCTCATTGACTCGACCGCGCTGGGCGAGCTCGCCTCTCATTGGTCAGTGTTTTTCGTTAATAATTCGTAAACGAAGCCACGGCTTGCATTTTCGCTAAGGAAAAAGTTACTTCAAATGATCCCAGGAACTTCTCATTTCCGGTTTGCGAGACATTTTTGGGGCATCCTGTATTAGAATTAAAACTGAACGGTCGGTAGGGGAGGGTGGGGGGAGGCGTTTCGTGCGCGCGTGACAACGCGACCCAGTAAAGCGAGCGCGCCGGCAAGAAGATATCACGATTCCGTCGCACCGAACAGATTCACCGTTCACTTGTTTCCTGTTTAGGCGAGCTGCTTGCTGGTTACGGGCTTATTAACGGTCGAGGCCGTGGCCGGCGTCGAGGAGGCGGCCGGGGAGAAGCCGGAGATCACAAAGCTGGAGCTGGTGGATCTCGGCGAGGGAGAAAGCGATATCGATGCGAAAGACACGGAAGTACAAAGGAAGAGGGACTCGGGTTATTCGTATAAGAGGCCGGGGGGCGGTTTCGCGGCGGCCACAAGAGCGCGCTTCCAAGTCGGACAATCCGGGCACAGAGGGCGCATCGTGAACAGACATCCCGCCCAAATAAACAGACCGGTTATGAAGTATGGGCCGCCCGGCTATCCGAGCCAAGCCGGGCCGAGGCCGTCTCCTCAGAATCAACAGCACCGAGATAAATTACAATTCCCCGGTCATTTCGGGCAGCAACATTCGGGCAACTTCGACAATCGGCCGGGCGGCTTGCAGGAGCAGGGCGTGCCGAGTCCAATTAGGCAGGTCGACTTCGTGGAGCCGAGTCCGATAGCCAGTCAGAACAACGAACCCTTCGCGTCGCACGCGGCGAACTACCTGCCGCCCCAGAACCAGAAGCTACCCGGCTACGCGCAGCAACAACCCTTCTCCCCGATACAAAGTCCCGCGAACAACGGCCCGGAACAGTTGGTCAATTTTCAAAGTCAGAGCCTGGTGCAGCCGCAGCCGGAGTTCTCGGACGCGACCGTTTTCTTGACGCAGAACGCGCAAGCGATACAACAATTGTACGGGGCGCCAGCGAACGAGCAAGACTTCGCCCCAAACGATGCCCCGTTCCCAGGGCAGACGAACCAAGTGCCGTCCCCGCTCGGCCAGTTCGAAAATTTCGAGAGCAGCTCCCAGAACCCCCTGGGCTTCCCCGGCGCCCTGCCGTCTTACGCATCCGGCACCCTGAGCGCCCAGGAAACCCTGGAGCAGATTCAGTCGCTCGAAAAGGACCGGCTGATCATCCAGCTGCAACGGGCGCTCGCCAGCCAGACTCAGGCCCAAAACGCGGACGCAGCCGGAAGGTACGCTCAAAATCAGCCGGGCTTCGTTCAGAGTCAAGATCTTCTGGCTTCCCTCGGACAGCGAATGAAGATTCACGGTTTGAACGCTCATCCGGGTACCGTAACGGTCGGCTCCGGAAATACCGCTTTCAATCAATCACCTTTTTTGCCAGGGACAACGGTCGGTCCGGTGTTACCGCTTAACTACGGAGTATCGAGCACAACAACCCGGCCGCCCCCGACCTCCGTTACGACATCAACGACAAGCACGCAGCCTCCTCAGGCTACCAAAGGGGACGGGACCACGCCGCTCGGCTCCGTCGAGCCAGCGACCACCTTGTCACCCACCGCAGCAGTTCCAGTTTACGCCGGCTTCGTACCGACCCTGATCTCCGGCACGAGTTTCGTGTCGAACGTGCCGACCTACGGGCCCGGCTTCTTCGCGCCCGGCGCCGTCGGCGTCGTCCAGCCGTCCGGTTCCTCGCCCACGCATTTCGGGCTGCCGATCCCGACGAACCCCAGGCCGGTCCTAGGGAGCGTACCCTCAACAGTGACCTCATCTTCTCCGTCGACTCCGTCGAGTTCTTCGACGCCTTCCACGAGCCGTCCCAGCGTCCCATCGTCCCCGCCGGTCAACCCGGCGCCTCTTCCCGTGCATCCTATCGCCGCGCCGTTGCATCCTGTCGTGACACAGCTCCATCCGGTGGCCTCTTTGCAGCCGATCCTGCCCGCCGTGCCGGCCCAAGCGCATCATCCCGTGCAGTCGCCGCCGGCGGCGCATCCGACGTACGGCATCCAGTCACCGGTGATCAATCCGTTCCTGTACAAGCCCGTCAAACCCGTCTACCCGCTCTATTATTACCCGAACGTGGCGTACCAGCTGCAGAAGCCCGCCGCGCTGCCGACTTACCCGTGGAGCTACGCGCCGACCTACGCCACGCAAGCGAAACCGGCCCAAATATGGAAGTGACGCGGCGGGCCCGGTTCCCTCTCGCGAGCGAGCGAGCGAGCGAATTCTGACCCGCCCTTCCTTCTTCATCGAGACTGACTGTTTACCCGCGCGGAAAAGCCTGGCTGCGGGAACGGGAACGAGAAGAAAGTAATCGGCGCCGCTGGATCAATGTCGCGGTCACGATGACACAGTTCTGATCGGCGGGACGAGGCGACGCTGTCGGTCCCACCGCCGCCGCTTAATAAGCATCGTTGTTGGCCGTGCAATTCGCAAGCCTGGCATAGATAATTTCCGACCGCTAGATATTTGCGTTGAATTGTCGATCGCGATCGAGACTGTTCGCAGCCGTGGCCACGCGGAAACGCGTCTCAATCAGATCCTAGGAGGCAACCTTGTTTTCTTGTTGTTCGTCTTTTTCTGTTTTTTTTTTATTTTTATATATATACTAATTATATATAGATATATTATATATTTACGTATAAATTCTCGTTGAATTACGTATCGCTATTGTAATCGGTAAATGGTGCTTCCAATTGTTGGCTGGAATTATTACAACTTAATATCGTACGTACGATGTGGGATAAACGGTGTGAGCTATGTTTGTATACTTTTTATCGATCTAGGTCGTTGTGATTTTATTGTGTTAGGTGTAATTTTAGTATAGACACCGTCGAGAGACGCTATTTATTATCGTAAATAAATATTTTTTTACCGTCCGAACGCGCTGCATTTCACTTTTCTTCGTGAACACTTCCTCGTCCTGGTAATTCGTGATCGGGGCGTGTCGCCGGTACACACGTCATAGAAAGTTCATCGTATGAAAATCAACTGTCTCCGTTTCCGGTGACCAAATCAATGCCGCGGAACTCTCACCGAATTACCGGTACGGAATCGATGAATTTTATTCGTAGAGCGACGGTGACCTCGAAAGTCGTCCGATAATAGGTCATCGCTTAAACGGTGGTGTGTTGTTCTTTTCTGGATTTTTCGGCGAAAAAGTTAAAGCACGGCGATCATCGCTTTCTGCAATCCGGCCCAATTTTCGATCTACTTTTCTGTACCATTTTCGAAAATTTTCTACGGTTCTCACATTTTCTCACGTTTCAAATTCATTGTCAAAGTAATTGGACTTTTTAGAATTATAACGCCTGCAAATACTTCCGTTAAACGCGATACACACTTTCATTTAATCCTTTAACAATCAAAGTGTCCTGTGTATTTATTTTAGAATTTTAACGTACATGTGAATCATGTTTCTCCATATGTAACTTTTCTAAGCCGTTTAGTACGATGGAAAAATGCAATTTTTCTTGGATATCATGTAAGAGCATACTGTGGGCTTTTAATTAGTGTACTTTAGAATGACGTTGAACAGATGGAAAAAAAGAAAATAGATTTTAGAAGAATAAATAATTTTTCTTTGTTCGTGATCTTTTTAATATTTAATTAATAATTAATAATTATTAATTATTATTATTAATTATATTTTTAATATTTAATTATTTTAATTTTGTTAATGTAGCCCAGTGTCCTCATTCGTTGATTTCAGAGAAGATGAGATAACACTTTTTAATTATAAAAGCCAATTATTGAATTATCTATACGAGTAGCCCATAATTTGGGAAGACATTTTATAGTACTGATAAGTGTCCACTGCGTCTATTTTCTTCAATAATAAAAGAAAAACAATTATCCGTATTGAACGCCGATCCAAATTGCACTATTTATACTGTCGTACAGCGACGGCGGTGCGTTTACGGCGAGGCAGTATTCGTTTCGTTTGAAAAACACGTAAACACGCCGCTTCCTTGCTGCTACAATTTGCTTTGTGTGTGAAAAAAACGTCGAAACAAATCTATGCTCCGCTAAACCGCGGCGACGGATTGCCGCGAGCCGTGCGTCCGAAGCTGTCCTAAATCTGTGAAATAAATGCAAAAGGTAAACATCGAGCGCGACGGAAAAGAATCGAAGTAAGATAAGAGATAAATACATTGCCTGTTGAGCAATTGTTTGCTCTGTCCAGCGGTAACGCGAATCACTCGGATAATATCGAGTACGCATAATGAGAGGCTGTCCTCGGCAGGTAGACGGGTCTCCGTCGATTTCCCAAGCTTTGGCCGCGGTCCTATCACGTTGCCGGAAATTTCGCGAGTTTCGCAGTCGGTCGGGCGTAATCAATAACCGGCTGCTAGACCCCCGGCAGCCTCGATCCGAGGCCCGGTGGTGGCTGAAAGACGCGGCAGCTGCACCGTCAGCGGTTCCGCGGCGAATTAGTAACGATTAACGGCTCGGTTTTCGTCCCCCGCGGCCCCACGGGGCCCCGGGGTCGCCGGCAGTTTGGCGACCCGTTCATCGATGACACTAGAACCGTGGCGCAATGCAACCACGAAACAGAGCCCGTAGCCTCGTGCCGACCGAGTTAAGAAACTAAAGCGGTGAACCAGCTTGCGCGCACGATTATACCGCTAAACGTACTAGATTCCTGCAGATACTCGGTGAACTGGTATAATTGCCCCCGAAGACGAACGGCTATTCTGTTTTCTGTGAAGCGCCGAGTGCCCTGAACGGAAAAAAGGGGCGACAGTTACGAAGAAAACGACTTGGAAAGACAGGCATCGGACGCGCGCGTCCCTCCGCGCAGGAAACCAGGCCTGTCAACTCACTTTCCGCGACTGACCCGAATCCCATCCTTGTTTTCGTTTTAACGCGCACTTTTACCGTATTACTTCTCGTACCTGCTCGGCCGGGATTTCTTCTTCAGGGCACCGTTTAGATCGTCGGATAAGCTGAAAATATATCGGGCTGGCAAGAAAGTAATTTCGGTTTGCTACCGATAGGTAGCGTTACGTTTGCATTGTCGTTCCTTCGTTGAGGTTATAATTTCGTTTGTCTTCGGCTTTGATAGTTGACACGTTTAGGTTACTATAGAGACAAACACGAAACACTGCGCTTCCCAGTGCTTTAAAGAACTCTTGGTCTATCATGTTCCTAGAATATGATATAGAAGGATTTTTATTGCTACTCTTGTGTTTCTAGATTATGATAGAAGTTTGCTTCCTTACTGATCGTGTTGTAACACACATTATTCTACAATCTGAGTTTACATCGCGTTGGCAATAAAGTAATTTCGGTTTGCACCAATAGGTAGAGTTATATTTGCATTGCCATTCTTTCGTTAAGATTATAATTTTTTTGTCTTCTGCTTTGGTAGTTGACACGTTTAAGCTACTATAGAAACAAATTCCATGTAGTTTTGTTTACAACTGATAGTTTGCTGTCAATTTTAACACGGAGTGCAAAAATGAACATTTCCAACACATTTTATTTCTTTTATTTTCAGAAAAGCAAGAATTCATTTATGGCTATCGGATTAGTAACAAAGTAATTTCGGTTTGCATCAATAGGTAGAGTTATATTTGCATTGTCATTCTTTCGTTAAGGTTATAATATTTTTGTCTTCAGCTTTGGTAGTTGACACTGTACGAGAGATTGCAAAAAGTTTAAAGGCATCGCACACAACAGTTGAATATCACACAAGATGTCTTGGACTTGTTAAGAAGGTCGATGTTTGGATTCCGCGTGAATCGAAAGAAATTCACTTAACACGAAGAATCGATATTTGCGATACGCATTTTAAACGTAATGCGATCGACCCTTTTTCGAAACGAATTATCCCTGATGATGAAAAATGGATCGTTTACAGTAATATTAATCGAAAANGTGCAAAAATGAACATTTCCAACACATTTTATTTCTTTTATTTTCAGAAAAGCAAGAATTCATTTATGGCTATCGGATTAGTAACAAAGTAATTTCGGTTTGCATCAATAGGTAGAGTTATATTTGCATTGTCATTCTTTCGTTAAGGTTATAATATTTTTGTCTTCAGCTTTGGTAGTTGACACTGTACGAGAGATTGCAAAAAGTTTAAAGGCATCGCACACAACAGTTGAATATCACACAAGATGTCTTGGACTTGTTAAGAAGGTCGATGTTTGGATTCCGCGTGAATCGAAAGAAATTCACTTAACACGAAGAATCGATATTTGCGATACGCATTTTAAACGTAATGCGATCGACCCTTTTTCGAAACGAATTATCCCTGATGATGAAAAATGGATCGTTTACAGTAATATTAATCGAAAAAGGTGATGGTCCAAGCGCGATGAACCAGCGCAAACCAAATCGAAAGCTGAATCGCATCAGAAAAGGATCATGCTGTCAATTTGGTTGGACTATAAAGGTGTTGCGTATTTTGAGCTGCTTCCAAGCAACCAAACAATCAACTCAGATATTTACTGGCAACAACTTATGAAACGAGAGCAAGCAATCAAAGTGAAAAGGCTAGAAGTGGCAAATTGCAAAGGAATCGTGTTCTACAGCGACAATGCGAGGCCTCGCACATCTTTAGCAGCACGTACAAAATTA